TTGCTCATCCGCTTGCTCTACCCCTCAGAATATGAATTAATTTGTTCACCGTTAACATTAATCCTAATATTATTGTTAGTCTTTGGTTTTATATTGATGGATCGCTGACCCTGCCCTGACCCTAGGGGTAGCCGGAATCCGAGAAATAGGGGAGAAAACCGGTGAAAGTGTTAAGTAAAATTGGGTATCAAATTCGATCAGCAGAGTAACAACAAGAGAATTCTAAAATCGGATCCCTTTCCACAGGTTATTGGAAGGTGATATTTATCTTAAAAAGGTAATACTTGGTGCCCAACTAAAAAAGATGATATTCTATTCTGGTGAGGACACGTGTCACACCTGCCTAACGGAATAATTAGACTAATCTAATAGTATATGTAAAAGTGATTGGAGAGATAATTGGGACTACTGGCTGATTGGAACTGTGTGTAACAAACTTATACCAGAATATTCGTGTGGTCTACACGTATTTTATCTGGAATATTCTTCACTCTATTTGCTTGGAGTGACGTGGCGCTTCATATAGTGCTGGTGATGTGGCAGTAGTTTGCGTAGTACTCGACTGCGTGAATTGTCTAGTCCACATAATGCTGGTGAGACCCTGAGCTCCTGGAGGTCGGAGCTCGGGAGGCTTGAGCTCATGATTGGAGGATTTACCTCTGGTCTTCAGCTTTGTCCGGTAGCGGTGATTCTTCTTTTGACTTTAGTCGACTCCGGTTGACCTCGCATCATTGGCACAGCCGCACAAGTCAGAGATGGAACTGACCTCGGCATGCTCGAGGTCGGCCTCATAGTTTGCCTCCCCTGGGCGATCCCCGAGCTCGATGTTCACGCCGTCCTCGGAGGGTCAAGGTCGGCCTCTGCTGGAATTCCGTTCTTTGTCGGTTCGTTATCTTTCGTCTTTTCCCGACCTCGGGTGTCGAGGTGACGAGGTCGGCCTCGGATGGAACTTATGTACTTGAGTGTTTTGAGATGTTTTGGGAGCCTTTTTGTCCACTGATCGTGATACCCCTGGAGTGTATGAGAATATACTCCATCATCTAGTGTTAGAGAATTAATGTTTTATGTTATTATGTATAACGAATTTCTTATAAAATGTTAAGTTATTGTGTTTGGGTTTAGTTTAATTTACAAAATTTATTTACACTTTAATCATATCCCTTACCATAATATAGTTATATTGATCTATATTTGTGGTTTCATTCATAGTGTAGGTGTTGTTTGATGGTGATGTGTTTTCGCTGCTTATTCCTAGAAACTAATCACAAAACAATACTCCTTCGTCCCATTTTAAGGTTCTCGTTCACTCTTCTCCGGTCAATGTGAATTGTTCTTAATATTTTCCTTTTTTTTAGCATATTTTTATTTAAATTTATTAAAAAGAGTACACGATGGTGATAAAGAAACAAAAACGCTAATGAATGAAAACCCCAAAAGGCCCTACAAATCCCTAAAGTATGACGATTCGCTCCCCATCGAATTGAATTGAATTGCCCGAAAGAGACGATATCTCCAAAATATCCGAAAGAAACCTTATGTTTTAGCAAATTTTCCTTTATATATCCAACTTTTATCAAATTTAGTTTTTCTTGATCAAGTATTATAAAACTTTTAATGTAGTTTCTGAATACATATGTAAACTTTATTTACTAAAAGTAATTTCATTAGTGACAAAGATCAGTTAACTTATTGTCAGTCAAACACTCAAACATCATAAACCGCATGGAAACCTTTAAGTGAGATGGAGGGAGTATAAATTAAGAATATATCCATTTTTGTGTGTTCTTTTTTTCTAAATTATACCACCAATGAAAATATTGTTAAATAAAAAAGAATAAATTTTCTTTTAAACACAAATTTTCTTTTACTTTTTTATAAACAATTTACAATCTCACTTTACATTTTGTTCCAAAGAAACTGAAAAATATATGTTCTCTCTCACATATACTCTTATAGTTCAAAACACAACATATTTATTCTTGCTCTCTGTTATTAAATTTGTTCTAGTATGTTTGCATTATTATTTTTATGTAATAGGCTTGATCCCCAACTATTGTATTTTTTTAAATGAAATGACTATTTTTTTAAAGAAACTCAAAATAAATTGAAACAAACCGAACTCATAATGAAACTATGATCTGAAGTGTTCAAATCGAATTGATCTTTTTACTTTGATTTTATATTTGATTTTGAATCGAACTGAAAAATCGAACCCAACCCTATTCTGGACGGTCATTGTGCCCTTCCTCATTTGTTGGCTGTCATATCCAACAACCACAAAAATGTAGAAAGTACCTCATCTCATAAAATGTAGAAAGTACCACAAAAACTAGGGCTGGGACTCTGGAACCAAGAACCGGAGAACCGAACCGGACCGAACCGTTATGGCCCGGTTCGGTTCGGTTCCAAAATTTATTAGTTATTTGTTAATGGTTCGGTTCCTACTTTTTATTAACGGTTCGGTTCTCGGTTCCTGTAAAAAATATGTACGTGGAACCGTTAAAAAACCGTTATATATAATAATTAAAATTATATATATTTCTTATTAGTATATGTATTTTAATGTATATTTACTTATTTATTTTCATATTACATTCACTATTTTAGTTTAGTTATTTAACTATTTGAAATTAGTTTTCATTTAACTGGTTTTATTGGGCTTCTTTACCGAATATCTTGTTTTTTTTTGTTTTCTAAAATTTGCAGTTTGTTATGTATTTATCTTTTAAACTCAACTTTTGAGGTTTGAAATGAAATTCAACATATTTGTATTGTAATTTCAAGCGTTGAATGTATTTTTGACACAAATTTAACCGTGATTTGTAAGATTTTTTTTAAATACTAGGAACCGTTAAATGACAAGAACCGAACCGTTAAGAACGGTTCGGTTCCTTATCGGTTCTACAAAATAATTTGTAAGAACCGAACCGTTAGTAAAATTTCATATTTTCAAACGGTTCCACATATTTCACCTAGGAACCGAACCGGTCCCAGGCCTAACAAAAACACGATTTTTGAAAAAGGCTAAAGGGTCAAATAGGTACATGAACTAACTTAAAGTGTTCAATTAGCCCCTTATATAGGAGGTTTTGCCCGGCCGTCGCCAATTGGGGCGTTTCCCGGTGGAATTTTTTGATAAAATTTTTTGAGCATCTTCTTCATTAAGTCTAGTTTATCCATACCAAATTTCAGCTAAAAATTCAACCGGGAAGGCAGTCAAATGATTTTTTGAAGATAACTGCGCAGGTAAACAACGCAGTACATTTTGGAAACTCATTTGACTGCCTTCCCGATTTAATTTTTAGCTGAAATTTGATATGAGTAAACTAGACTTAATGAAGAAGAGACTCAAAAATTTTCATCAAAAAATTCCACCGGGAACCGCCCCAATTGGCGACGGCCGGGCAGAACCTCCTATATAAGGGGCTAATTGAACACTTTAAGTTAGTTCATGTACCTATTTGACCCTTTAGCCTTTGAAAAACCTCCATTTTATGAATTGTACCGAGTCACGTATACTCTTTTATACAATTTATTTTTTATAAAGTTAAAAAAAGTGTAATATTGAGATATTGACCCAATAAGATCGATCTGCAAGGAGACGATCATAATGCCACAAATACTATGTAGCATCGATACGGGTATGCGGAAACGGGTACAGGGATACAAAAAAATAGAATACGGATACAGAGTATATTTATAATTAATAAAAGTTATGGGGTTTATTTATAATTATTAAAAATAATGGGGTGTATTTATAAAAAAAATATTACAAGATCTTTTTTTTGAGAATATAGAATTATTATCCTCTGACCTCTGTCCATATGGCATTGAAGCATTTCACATTATTAAGATGATTAGGAATAAGGATGTTTTTACTTGGACTGAAATTTGCTGGTCTGGTCTGGTCTGGTAAGGTCTGGTTTCTTTGTATTTTTATAACTATCCAAGTCTGGTCTGGTCTGGTCTGAACTGGTCTGGTCTGGACTGGTCTGGACTGGTCTGGTCTGGTCTGGGGCAAATTACAGTCCAAGTAAAAACATCCTAAGTTCATATTTTACCTTACATACACTAGTGCATCTCGAAAAATAAAGGGAAAAGGGGCAAATAAGCCCTCGAACTAACCAAAAAAGTTCAAATGACCCCTTATAAAGGAGGTGCTGTCTGGCTGTCGCCATTATGGGAGGTTCCCGGTTGAATTTTTTATGAATTTTTTTTAGCATTTTCTTCATTAAGTCTAGTTTACCCATACCAAATTTCAGCTAAAAATAAAACCGGGAAGGGAGTCAAATGATTTTCTGAAATATACCGCGATGTTTAACTACACAGTTATCTTCAAAAATTCATTTTATTGCCTTCCCGATTGAAAATTTAGCTGAAATTTGGTATGGGTAAACTAGGCTTAATGGAGAAGATGCTCAAAAAATTTTATCAAAAAATTCCACCTGGAACTTCCCCAAATGAAGACGGCCGGATTGAGCCCCCTATATAAGGGGTGATTTGCACTTTTTTTTGTTAGTTCGAGGGCTTATTTGCCCCTTTTCCCAAAAATAAATATAGCAGTAAGTTGTTAATTTAAAATAAGAAATGAGTCCAACAATCACATTTTTGAAATTTAAAATGAAAGTACTCAAAGTTCTTGGGTAATGGTGATAGAAAATAATACTCTATTAAAAAACTAAAAGTTCTAATACATATTTCCACAGGGACAACCTCTAATTTTGGTTCATTTATGAAAATGTTAACGAATTCAAGTACTGTGATATATCCTCCATGCTTCCAAAGTTATATCCACAAATTTCTCACATTTTATTTATGGGCCATACGCTTATTTGTCTACGATATTAAATTTAATACCCACTATTAGTTTTTCGTTTTTAAAGCACTCCCGCATCGGACAGTCCCATAACCATCACCTAATTGTTTGAAAACAGGTACCTTTCTACACTAATTATTAATCTATTACCTTTATTTTTTAAAATAAGAACTTGAAAAATAAAAAAGAACTGATGGATGAAGTGTTTATTTATTTCGGTAATCTCATCTAATCTAATTTCAGTAACCAAACTAAACTAAATTGGGTCAGAGTTGGAGGGAGCCACCCTTTGCGACATCCTCTGTTATATATATGCCTCTTTTTCAGTGCACTTGATAAATCATCTTGATCAAAGTTGCTATCTTTTTCCGGTGGGGAAGTCATTTTCCGGATACTCTCTTCTACATCGATCTTCCTAGCTGCAGTTTCTCTTCAGTTCATCTCCGCCCATCTTTCATCATTATCACCGTCATTATCTGGTTCTACATCTATCGCAGCGGTCAACGGAGCCTACAGCCGTCCTCCATTCACCTGAAAAGATATATTGGAGGTTGTTTCCGATCTTCTTGTAATTTCTCTCTTCAGATCTGTGGGATTAAAAAATATGGCAGATACTTCATCTTCTAGTCAATGTATGAACTTTTTTTTTATATATATATATATTCAAATGGGATACATTCCTTTAATTTCGAGAAGGGGATTTGCTGCTAAACTTTGATGGTAATTATGATCTCTGGAGCTCATAGTGCTAATAAATAGTGCTTTTATTATCTGCTATATCCATAACTGATAGCGCTGATATAATTTGTTCAGTTTATAATCTTAATAGTTATTTTAGTGGCCATAAGAAACCGTTTGTAGCAAAGATATGGAAACCATATCTGCTCAAGCGTCTATATCTAGTAGTTTGATGAACTGATGCACAGTTAAGGCTAAAGATAAATTTTTTTTCTTTCCTTTTTCTAATAGTATTGGCCCCTGGTTTGGTTTTAGTTTTGTAATATCTGATTAGATAAATTATAGTCATACATCGGGAATATAAGTTGCTACTACTATGAATGTATAATCCTCTCTATTATTTTTCCCCTACAGAATTGGGGGTTTAAGTGGAGTCGGTTTCAGTTACACTGGACTATTTTTCATTTCATAGTTTAAAAGTTATGTTCTTTTATTTTTGTCTGTTTGAGATGAAGTGCATGATAGTATTAATATAGTTTTAGAGTGGTCGAAGTTAAGATACTTTATGCTAACCGTATATATCTAAAATGAGAGTTGTGTTAGTTTATATTTGTGTTGTGATTTTTATAATGAGAAGTGGAAAAGTAATAATTGAGTTTGTATGAAACAGATACCAATAAGCTTATACTTTAGCTTGTGATGGCTCCGGTAGCAGAAGCAATCAATCCTAGAGGTAATCATATTTCTTATGAAGTCATGGTTCCATCTGTGTTTAGTTAGATATCTTTGATTGTTTACAGGTAAAGTAATTTTATATGTGAAAACCATTTGTTTAAAAAATAAAAGTCTACTTATGGTTCAGTTCAATAGTTAAAATTGCTGAAATTCCAAATACTCTTTTCATGATACTTGCGTATGGAATTTGTATCAATTAGAGAGGACCACATCATTTTTATCTAAATTGCTAATCCAATTGGAAAAATCTGGCGTGACATTTATATAGACGAAAGTTATCATCTGTTGCTATTGTCATTGCATTACTAGTTATTCAATAATGAATAATCGGTGAACATTCTATACTAATATTTATAAGCAAATACTTCCTCAATTTTTATTTGATCTAGGACCTTTTTCAGAGCATTCCAGAGTAAAATAGTGGGGTGGGAATAGGAGGAGAAAGAAGATGAAAAAGTAGAAAAAGTAAGAAAAGCAAGATGAAAACTAGGTAACTTGTGTATATTAATATGGTAAAACTTGCCAAATCAGGAAAGTGGGGCAAATATTAAGAAACTTCCCAGCAAGGAATGCAGAGATATAAACAAAGAGGTGGTATAATTTAGGACCTGAATACTATTTATTTGCATATGCAATGCATGAAGCTTTGAAGATTTTGGTGATCATTTACTTATTGAGATTAGCCTTATCTGTTTCGTGATTCAAATCTTCATACCCACTTACCCAGTTATTGATCAGTACTTTAATTGTAATGTGAATATAGATGTTTGCATTGTTGGTGTTGCCCGCACACCAATGGGTGCCTTTCTTGGCTCTCTTTCATCACTTTCGGCTACCAAGCTTGGATCCATAGCAATTGAAAGTAAGAGAACCCACCATGTCCATATGATTTCTCCATCGTGGGGGGCCTTCATATGGTAGTAATTTTTTTTTTCATGAAATCCCATTAGGTGCTCTTAAGAGAGCAAATGTGGAGCCATCACTTGTGGAAGAAGTTTTCTTTGGAAATGTACTCAGTGCAAACCTGGGGCAAGCTCCTGCCAGGCAAGCAGCACTGGGTGCAGGAATACCAAACACGGTTATTTGCACCACTGTCAACAAGGTCTGTGCTTCTGGGATGAAAGGTTTGTTGCCTTTTTCTCTAAGCTTAGACCTTCATTTTCTTGACCATTTCAAATTTTGGTTTATGATATATATTCATTTTTTATTTTTATTTTACATGTCAGCAACCATGCTTGCTGCACAAAGTATCCAGTTGGGAATCAACGATGTTGTTGTCGCTGGTGGCATGGAAAACATGTCTAATGTTCCCAAGTACATTGCAGAAGCAAGGTTTGTGTTCTTCTCCTGATGATACTGCTACAATTTGGTTGGGGTCCGATTGGATCCCGGAAAATGGCAGGAAATGAAAATATAGAGGATAAGTAAAAGCAGGGAATATTTGAAGGAAAATACAAGATAGATTCAAGCTCAATAAAATATTTTTAGGTATTTGTTCAAACACCTTTTATATACTCCGTATTTATTTATTTATTTATTTATTTATTTATTTATTTATTTAAAAACTAAGAAATCTTAATACATATATTGATGAAAGTAAAGCTATTCGCCTTTTTATTTTCCAAGACAGAACCAAACCTAAGAGAATAACTTCCCTTGGGATTTCTTTTTTGCTTTCCAAGCATTTTCCGAGATCAAAACAGACCCTTACTAAGTAGATGCTGCAGTGTGTGAACTTTTGTGCCTTCACCATACACTTGTTTGGCAATTCTGTATTGTGCTTTGAATTGCAGCACACATGGAGTGAATGCTGTATTATTTACTTGGCATGAATTTATTTATTAAGCATAATTGCAGGAAAGGATCTCGCCTTGGCCATGATTCTCTTGTTGATGGAATGCTTAAAGATGGGCTATGGGATGTCTACAATGACTGTGGAATGGGAGTTTGTGCAGAATTATGTGCTGAAAATCATAAATTATCACGTGAAGAGCAGGTGCGTTCAGCAACAATTACATCCCAAAATAATATATTTGACCAAATACAGCAACCAGTCATTTACTGTTGTTAAATTGTCTTTTCCAGATGTTCACCATATCTACGTCTAACGTATATAAGTATGAGGCAAACCCACTTTTAGGATATTCTGAGTGAGTTAGCCCTAAATTTGTATGGTATTAATGTCTGGTCTGGTTATGGTTTGTTGATATGTTTGGCACCTCTCAAATTGTCCAACCCGATTTGGGGTTAAGGGACGCATTAAATTATCCTAGACTGGATGTTTACTAGATCTGTGTCTAATAACTAGATATGAGGTAAACCTTAGCATGGCTTTTGGAGTGAGTTAGACCTAATTTATTCTTTAGAAAGTTTACTAATTAATCTTATATTATATTATGTACACAGGATGATTTTGCAATTAAGAGTTTTGAACGGGGTATTGCCGCTCAAAATACCGGTGCTTTTGCATGGGAGATTGTACCGGTAAAAACAACTCAGTTGACATCACTGCTTATTTCTTTCCTATGAAAAAGGACAACTCCCGTAAATCCTTTTATCATATTAATTCATTAGAATTTGATAACTTGCCAGGTTGAAGTGTCTGGGGGTAGAGGAAAGCCATCTACTATTGTTGATAAGGATGAAGGTTTAGGGAAGGTAATTACATTACTTTACTCATCCGATGTTATTAACCTAATAATCCAGTACTTGCAAATTGCTATTCCTACTTTGCGGAAGCTGAAATAGAAAAAAACAAGAAAACAAAAAGTGCATTTTGTATGAATTTGTCACTTACTAGAGTACTGAAACGGAATTGGTTGATGCAGATCTGAAGGATGTAGTTCTATAAAATGCTACCACCTAAAAGATAATTAGAGACTGTTTTGGATGACTTCTGATTTCTGAAACAGATAAAAGCTCTATTTCAAAATTTGTTAAACAATACTCCCTCCTCCGTTCCACAAAACTTGGCCAAGAAAAGTTAATTTGAAACAGTTTATTATCATTGACCAAGAAAAGTCAATTTGACCAAGTTTTGTGGGGCGGAGGGAGTACTAAATAGAATGTTTTCTATAGTATTGGAAACCATTAATCTTTAGCTTCTACAGGGTTATAAGCACCTTTCTCAACAAGAAAGTACTAATTTGGTGCTTTTAAGAAAAGTACTTATTTCAAGAAGTGATTTGCAATCCCAAAAACTTCTCAGCTATTATGGAGTATTACTCTATTAGCAATTAAAAACTTTGAAGCGATTACGTAATCGTACTCTATAAACATCTTGCTGTGTACTTGCTAGTTTGATGCTTCAAAGTTGAGGAAACTTCGACCAAGTTTTAAGGAAACTGGAGGTACCGTGACGGCTGGTAACGCTTCTAGCATAAGGTTTGCTCTGACACACTTCCTCAATTCTTTCAATTCCTCCTCAGTGTTATTTCCCCCCCTTAAAACAGCTCACCAATATCTGGTTTTCTGAAGAAACTGTGTTGTCCATTATATGAAAGTTAATTGACACTTAAAACGATCTTAATTTTCAGTGATGGTGCTGCTGCTCTTGTCTTAGTAAGTGGAGCTAAGGTAGCTGAGCTTGGTTTAACTGTGATTGCAAAGATCAAAGGATATGCAGATGCCGCTCATGTATGACTGACCTATTTATATTTTGGATGATAACAAGTTCAAATTTGATTACACACACACACACACAATCACACTTATTACCCACATACATATAATATTTTTTTGTGTGTAATAGAACCTATTATCATAAACAATTTATAAATGTGAGAACTTTTCATCTCCACCTTTCATTTTGCTGATCAATGGTAAACCCAAGGCGACATGCATTCATTATGGAGTATTGTTTTATGAATTTGGTAAAACCATGCAGGCACCAGAGCTATTTACAACTGCTCCTGCTCTTGCAATTCCAAAGGCTTTAAAAAGCGCTGGTCTAGAAGCTTCTCAAGTTGACTATTACGAAATCAATGAGGCTTTTGCAGTATGTTGACTTTTGAAGATATAAATTTAATTCTCTCTATATTTTTAGCTCTGAGTTTGCGTTCTTATGTCTCATACATACTATGTGTTCAGGCCGTGGCTCTTGCAAACCAGAAGTTGCTAGGGCTTGATGTGGTGAGTTCTGCTCCTCTAAACGTATTGTGTGTGAACCTCTATCGCCTTCACTATTTCAGTACACCAGTACATCAAATAGATGAATCTGGATAGAATTAAAGATAGTGGGGCATGAAGAACTAGGGGAGTGGTCGGTCCACGTAAGGTTTTTTGTTGTGACATGAAAAAAACTGGCAAGTACGGGATTAATAGTTTTTGAGCCCGAAAGAAGACTCAACTTGTTCAGGCTGAGTTCAGGCCAAGCTGATTTTTGGCATGGAAAGCGTTTTGTCCTATTATTAATATTTCAACTTGTTTTCAATATAATCTGTTTACTACACATCACACAACCACTTATTTAATAATCATCAAATTCATCAACAAAAAAACTACACATCACGAACAACCATTTATTTAATACTAGTAATCATTAAATTCATCAACATTATTAAGAATCTCTAAAATCATCTAAGCATAACCATAGCTTATTAAAGATTTATAAGGTTATATAATATATTTATATATTATAGAGTTCTTTTAATCGATTCAGAACTTTCTGTCCGGGAACGTTTTGGCCCGCTTCAATGAGCAAACAAGTCAGGTTTGGGCCGGTTATTATACTTGGACCATTTGAAAATTTCGGTCTGGTTCGGACTTAGTTTTTGGATTTCTGGTAGGGTTATCCTAGCCAAGTAGCCATATGAAGAATTTTGGTTGTTATGGAGAAAATGCTCACCCACATATGAATAACACTCAATTAGACAATAAGTACTCTTCATTGTCAAATTTCAGGAGAGAATTAATGTTCATGGCGGAGCTGTAGCGTTGGGCCATCCGCTCGGATGCAGTGGAGCACGGATATTGGTTACACTTCTCGGGGTATGTTTCACTGTGATTATAAATTTTTACGGAGTATATTTTGCAAAAAGGAAAAGAAAAAGAGTAAAATCCTTGATGCTTAGAAGGGTTGCTAAATCATGACTTGGTGCACAGGTGTTGAAGCAGAAGAGTGGTAAGTGTGGAGTTGCTGGGGTGTGCAATGGTGGAGGCGGTGCCTCGGCCCTTGTGTTGGAGCTGGTTTGACCATTCCCTTTTCAGCAGTATTTCATCATCTTGTTCGTTTAGAAAATATAACTTACATACATGTCTCTGCAACTGGGTTATATTGTAAGTATTTTACTAATAGAGATTTTGTTGAGATACAATGATGGTGGTGGTGGCCTGGAAACAAATCACACACTACTTGGGCCACATCAGTTTTCATGCTTCCGAATAAATGTTCTTTTCTGTATTCTTCTTCTCGCTTGTGTTTGTTGTGTACTCCCTCATTTGATAATTCCTTACAGTATCCATCAAACCTTTTTAAAATATGATTGAATTTGAGACACATGTTATGTCGGGATAGGTTCCAACATGGTTGCCTTTCTCCACCTGATGAATTTAGAATGTCCTAATTTTCATTACCAGACTGGAAATCTGGTTATTTGTTCATTTCATTATCGCAAACAATGTTTGATGCTTCTTCTATGGGTTTGGTTTAACTAGCGGTTATGTAAATTTCAACCATATTGTTCGAAGTATGGGAAATCTCGAAAAATAGTGTTTCTGTTTACAGTTTTTTAAACAACATTTAAAGTCTTATTAGACGGTTTTCCGTCATCATCGAGTATAATAAACTTCAATTCAAACGGCGACGCTACTTTTGAGATTGCGATATAAAGTTGTCCATGGGTGAAAATCGGATGACGTAAGAAAACACCAACCCTCTCCACAGATTGTCTTCGACTCTTATTATCGGTCATTGCGTAATTAAGCATCAAAGGGAACTGCCTATGTTGAAATGTGAACGATAGCTTTAGGTTAGATGGAGTCAAGCTAAGCTTCAGAATGAGAACCTTTTGCCCCGCATTTGTTCCAGACGTCATCTGAACCTCGAGAATATGAGTTCTGAGTTTAGTGATGATAAGACGAATGCCATTACATAATTCGGAGAAATGATCGATATTCTCACTAGCATCACAGGTGCACCCACTTTCAATTTCAACTCATGACTCGGCACACCAGAGCATTTTATGCTATTGAGAAATTCTGGAGAATGGATCTCTTGAAGGAGTGCATTGTCTGAGTCATAAGAAGATGCTAAATCCAAGGTTAAGTATGTCTTTACCTCACCAGCAGTCAGTCCTGTCCTATCATGTAATCGTTGATCTTGTCATGCTCATCAATGCTTGGCGCAAGAATTGCACTGGCATTCAAATAAGAAACATCATTACAGTGCATTTAAAAATTGGGATAGGTGATCTTAACAATAACTTCAATAGGATCATCCGTCATAGAAGCAAAAAATTAGTTAGGCTCCTGAAGGATTCAGTACTCCACAGAAAGTATTACTAGTGAAAAGCAGGCTATATGAGGAATAACTAGCATTTCAGACATAAGACTCACAAATAGGGTGTTAGTCTGTTAGATATAGTTATAGGTGGAACTATCGTTACCTCATCCACAAGATGATACATACCGTATATAATTTTCATTATTAAGCCGGATTTGAGCATACAAAGCTACGACGAGAAAACGGCAGAAATCGGGACCCTTCGGCCATAGGAGAGCCCTCGACATGAGGGTAGCCTTCGGCTACACAAGGCCTTCGGCCATGAGGGTAGCCTTCGGCCATGAGGGTAGCCTTCGGCCATGAAGGTAGCCTTCAGCCATGAAGGTAGCCTTCGTCCATGAAGGTAGCCTTCGGCCGTGAGGGTAGCCTTCGGCTACACAGAGCCTTCGGCCATAAGGGAGTCTACGGCCACAGGCGCGATCATCAAAGAATCCCTTTGGGGATAGACAACCACCGCATTTAATGCGGCATCACATCCACCCACCGCATTTATTGCGGTGCACATGCATATGCCGGTACCATCCGATTGAGGTGACCCCTCGGTCGTCAGATTGTTGACACGTGTACTCTCATCGCACTTATGGCTGCTATAAATAGCAGCCCTTATTCTCCTTGTAAAGCACGCTGAGTTCATTTAATACAATCGACTCTCTCTCTCTTACTTGCTCTGACTTCTCTCTAAGTTATTCCCGCAATAACCCCTCGAATAAGCTACCCCCCGGGTACACTGTCCATCACAACCATACTCATATCATTCTCGTCATATAATTGGAACATATATCTTTTAGATCCTAACTCCATTATGGTAACACCCTTGACATATTTTCACACTGATGCCATAATATCGCAAAAGTTAGTGAAACGTACCGATTTTTTCGACGTAATAGTTCCTACCAGAAATAAGTTTGTACTTGATGTGCCCGAGTCCATAACTTTCACCGCCATGATCTCATTCTCTTCCTCCTCATCCATCTGCATCTGTCCATATGCCTGACCCAAAGATTCTATTTCTTCCAGGTTTTAGCCTTCTGCCATCACATACTGCTTTTGGAATAAAGTAAACTTCGAGAACTGAACGGACGACTTGAACGCAACTCGCTGCCGGAAGAAGCTGCGTAAGAGAACTTAAACTGTGGTTGTCCTCTTCTTTGTCCATTGTGTTGCGTTAAACCTAATTACCTAGGGGTCGTCCGCTCTCCTCCCTTGTTTAGATTTTAGAATTATATCTCTACATATTTATTTCTAAATTAAAATAGTTTTTTAACTTAAACTGATTGCCAATTTGAGGTCTTTTACACAAGTGATCTTCTCCCAAGCTTTCGTCTAGGGTTTGTTTTTTCAGAAGGCGGCTTGCGCCATTTCTTGTCCGGCGAATGGTTTGGAGCGACAGTGAGAGGACATCCATTACCACGCTCTTCCTCTTCATGGTTTGCTTCTTTATGGTTGATGCTTCTGGACATACCACTATGAATCGAATCTGGAGGTTTGTGGTTGATACGTTCAATTGGAAAACCGCCTGATCAGTTGCGCTTGGGTTGTCCGTCAGAGGTGGGGCGATTGGGACTCTGGTGGGAACAGAGGACAAATGGATGGTGTGACTGGATTGAGTCATGTTTGAATGGATTTCACCTCAGGGTGGAGGTAATTGGGGGGTGCTAGAGGGAGGCAATTTCTGGATCGAGTTCTGACCAAAGGAGAAGACAGATCGGCGATCCCTCCCCCCCTCCTGAACCGCCACCATGGAGCGATCGAGTTGTCAGGGTTTGAAGATGATTCTTCAAGAATACTGGCAGGAGAGAGCTTGGAGTATTTGTCAATTATTGTATATTTTATGGTCTTACTTTCGTGTTAATTTTGTTTATGTTGCTATGTTTTTATTGATGTCTTTAGTTTTAGGTCTACAATAAGGATTGTCAATTCTGCTAGATACTATGTCGTTATAACGATCTATATGACAATTGATTATTGTGTCACACCCGTTTGGTGATTAACAATTTGTATTGCTTTTTCAGGAATGATCGTTTTCAAGTCTATCCTTAGGGTCGTTAATGCTAGTTACATATAGTTGTTGTTAGTGTTTGTCTCTTTGAATTTGTTGTAATGATATGAATCTTAATGATATTAATATAAACGGTTTTTTTTTTCAAAAAAACTTGAACTGATTGCCTTGATGAAAAAAATTGTCAAATAAATCCTCATATTATGTCAAAAGTGAATTATGTCTTAATACTTCAAAACACACTAATTGGACTCTCAAACTTTGAAAAACCTTTCCTCTGATAGATTTACTTGTAAATAACGCAACAGGTTTTCCGTTCAACGAATTGACTTTTTTAAAGAGTTTTTCCTCAAATATTTAAAAAATAAATTAATGAATAAAAATATAACTAAAGTAAATTGTGTGCATACTTTAATTTGAACAATATCATACGGAGTAATTATTAAAATTCCCTATAAAGGATGACATTCCATCCCTGAGGGTCCCCAACACCGACCGGATAAAAAAATTCCCTATTTTTATACTAGCTCTATCTTTTCCAATTAGTAGTCTATCCTTTTTTTTCTTTCCTTTTTCCATTCACTGCCTTTTGCTTCTTCTTCCACCCCACCCACCTGCCTTTCTTCTTCGTCTTGCATGTTTACAATTCTCAAGGATACATTCCAAGAGTATATACATGAAATACATCATATTTTTATGGTCAAGAATCACATGTGACATGTGGGATTTACATACATCACACTTATAAGATCAAAAATGAAATTCATTCTTTTTTATTGTGAATCATTATCTTTCAAGTTCATTTTTTTATTTACTCGGAATCTTTTCAAGCATAAATATAGTCTATATATCAGTCGCTTATAACTTAAGCTATGTTTGCATTTGCTTAAAATAAATGCTTCTAAGCTTTTAGATTAAAAAAAAACTAGAAAAAGCGTTTGCTAAGAACAACTTCTGATTAAAAAAAGTACTTTAAAGTTAAAAGCTAGAAGCTGGGATATACCAGTATTATTGTAAATAGCTCAAACTTTTTGGATAATTATTAGGCAACAAAATCCACCCCAACCCCAAAATACCCTGAGCAACCGTGCTTCGTCATCGCAGGTGTCTTCTTAAGCCTCGCAAAGAACTTCAAACCCAATTTCAGATGGAATTTGTACGCGAACTTATCATCGTGAATTTGTCGAACACAAGGTGGGCGATTTCAGATGGAACCACTTGGGCTTCCGAAAAGAGGAACTCAACTTCATCTGTAATTCTTCCTTTCCTCTTCATTTTCCAAAGTGTATGACAGATTGAAGAAGTTTTTAAACTTGATTCTTCCTTTGCTAGTTGAAAGCTTGTTGCGATGAAAGAAAGTTGAGAAAAGAGAAGCAACCTTTTAATTAGGCATTTAATTAGGAAGGGTACATTTGTACTTCTACAATCTACTCCAAGAAAAATCATTTTTTATCAAACACTCCAACTTTTACCTTTTAATAAAAATCACTTATATTTCCAAACACTATCTACTTTTACTTTAAATCACTTTTCCAATAATCTCCTAAAAAAATAACTTTAAAAAAGTAGAAGCAATCACAAACACTCCCTTAGCCAATTCTCCTATTTTGACTGTTCAAAAAATATACGGAGTAGTCATTATCCTTTTTAGTAAGATATGATGTTAAATTTGACGAATATGCACTGTTATACTTTGAGGAATGTGCATATTAGACTCGGTAATGTGTCACAGACTAATATCGGTAATGTGTCACAGACTAATATTGTATTACCTCCATCCCAGTGAACATTGCCAAATTCAAAGTATGTGAGCAATAGAAAAAGAAAAAACCGTGTGATTGACGTTTATATAGAGGAGAGAGAATTGAACATAACCACAAATTAATTGTTTTAATAGGAAAGTAATAATGTTTTTTTGGTATAATTGTGAAATCCAATAGAATGGAGAGAGTAATTATTAGAGAGGAATGTGAAACAATTTCTAAGTCAATCCGAATACCGGGGGTCGTCCACTAATTGCTGTCTTCGAGTGTGGTAGACGACGTAAATACACAAACACTAAAGATGAGGATTAAAAAAAGAGAAATTTACAATTTTTGTCCTGCAACTTTCCATTATTTTCATTACTAGGGTATTAGTTTTGTAGCTTTAGTCACTTGGAAATTTATATTATTTGAGATTTAAAGACATTTTTCTTGAAAA